CAGAGTTGCTCTGCCCCGGGCTTCCTGGAATCAGCCGCTGATCAGTTTCAGCAGCAGCTGACTTGGGGACGCCTGGGGTTCTTAAGTTGAATCTGTATGTAAGTCAGAACTGGTGTCCAGATTCAGCCGCTGTTGAAACTGATCAGTTTCAGCAGTGGCTGAATCTGGATGCCAGTTCCGACTTACATACGGATTCAACTTAAGAACAAACCTACAATCCCTATCTTGTACGTAACCCGGGGACTGCCTGTACTGAGAACAGCCTCTCTCCATCCTCTTTGGAAGCCCGCTTCTAGGAGCTGAAGGCTGCTATCAAATCCCCCCTCACTCTTCTCTTTTGCAGACTAAATAAGCCCAATTCCTTCAGTCTCTCCTCATAAGTCATGTGCTCCAGCCCGCTAATCATTTTTGTTGCCCTCTTCTGGACTCTCTCAGCCTTTCTGTAATGGGGGCTTCAGAACTGGATGCAATACTCCAGATGTGGCCTCACCAGTGCCAAATAATCACTTCCTTAGATCTGCTAGCAATGCTCATACCAATGTAGTTCAGTATGTTGGTTAGCCTTCTTGGCTACAAGGGCACACTGTTGATTCATGTCCAGCTTCTCATCCACTGTCATTCCCAGGTCCTTTTCTGCAGAACTGCTACTTAGCTGGTTTGTCCCCAGCTGGGGGCAGTGCTTTACACTGACGATGCTTCCCATCCCCTCACGCTTTGCACTGACTGGGCTTCCTCTCCCTTTGTAGCACATACAGACGAGTCAAACAGTTCGTTGAAGCCGACAGGAGCAAGTGCAGAACTCTGCACTTGTCCTTGTTGAACCTCATCAAATTTCTTTTAGCTCAATCCTCCAATTTGTCTGAGCCACTCTGGACCCTATTCCTACCCTCCAGCATATCTACCTCTCCCCCTAGTTTAGTGTCATCTGCAAATTTGCTGAGGGTGTAACCCATCCAATAAAGATGTTGATCAAAACCAGTCCTAAAACCAAGTTTGGGGGGCACTCCGCTTAATACTGACTGCTTAACCAGACATCGATCTGTTGGTCATTACCCATTGAGCCCGATGAGCTAGCCAGCTTTGTATCCACCTTAGAGTACATCTATTCCATCCATACTTCTTCAGCTTGCTGGCAAGAATACTGTGGGAGATCGTATCAAAAGCTTTGCTAAAGTCAAGGTATCTCACGTTTACCACTTTGCCCATATCCACAGCTCCAGTTACCTTGCCAGAGAAGGCAAACAGGTTTGTCAGGCAGGACTTGCCCTTGGTGAATCCATGTTGTCTATTCTTCTCTTCCAAGTGCTTCAAAATTGATTCCTGAAGGATCCCCACCATGATTTTTCCAGGGTTTGAAGTGAGGCTGACTGGTCACACTGAAGAGCAGCAGTAAGGAGCTGGTGGGGTGAAGGATGCTGCGCTGGAGGACGTTGTGGACTGCTACAGCCCTGTGCATGGTACCTTTGCTGTGGAAGGTTTACCAGTCTATGTGCCTGGGGCTAGGTCCTGCGACCATCTCGGTGGCCAAGTCCTGTGGCTGTGCCAGCTGTATTGTGGCACTCAACAGCTCAGCCTGGTTTAATGAACGGTATGATCCAGCGATAAGTCCTCTGCTGACAAAACACACTGCCAAGATCACCCCAGATGTCCTTTTATGGTGGCTGGTGAGTTACAGAGTCACAGCAATTAAACCAATGAAGGCACCTCTTCAGGCCCACCATGAGCAATTCTGGGCCCCATGATAGACCAATCAATGAGCCCTCTGCTTCTCTCCCCCGCCCACTCTGAGTGCTCGCCCAATGAGTAGAGAGCCCCTTGGCCAGTTGCAGTCCCCTTCTCTGCCTGTCCAGAGGAACCCTTCTCTCTAACCTGCCCAGAGCAGCCTTGGGCTGGCCACAGCCCCTTCCCCTGCCTGACCAGAGGCACCCGTCCACCCCACCTGCCTGGAGGACACTGCACCAGCTGCAGCCGCTCCTTCCCTCTCTTCCCCAGGCCCAGCTCAGTAGTATTTGATCCTCAGCCACCCTGGAACCAGCATAGGGCATTTCAAAAGCATCTTTGAAGAGAAGCTTTTCCCCAGAGCAAAGTGCATCTGGGGAAGGGAAGGGAGGTGCAGCTACAGCTAGCCCAGGGCTCCTTGTGCTGCAGCAGGAGGCACTCAGGACTTCTCTGGGGGGGAGGGACTTGTGGCTCCAGCTGAGGGAGGGTACATGGGGGGGGGGGCTCACAGCTTTGGACTTGGGGGGAGAGTGTAGGTGGGAGGAGAAGAGCCAGGGACTAGCCTCCCATGGGGGGGGGGCATTTGCCATCCATATACCCAGGCCTTTGACCTGCCAGGGCAATTTAAAAGGGCCCAGTGGGGTTCTCAGCTGCCACTACAGCCCCTTCATGTTGCCTGAGCCCCTGGGCAATTGCTCCCTTACCCTCCCATCAGTGGACCTGCACCTCCTCCTACTGTGACCCTTGGCAGACGAGCCCATCCTGGGGCTCCTCAGGGCCATGGCAAAGCAGAGGACTGGGGCAGAGGCTGGTGAAGGGGGGTTCCAGCACCATAGTTGGGGTGACTATGGTCAGGGCGCTTTCACATGCCTCAGGATGCTGCCTGGGGTGGAAAAAGGTAGCCACCATCACACTTACCAGCAGTTCTGGCCCCTGCATGCAGCTCCTTGCTCCCTCCCCTGCAGCTGCCAGTCCCCCTGCAATCAGCTAAGCCAGGAGCAATTCTGGGGGTGCAGTGCAGCATGTGGCATGTAAGCTGAAAGGGGCAGCAGTGGGGAGTGTGAGCTGAGCTGGAACGCTGGCCTTGTCTTCACTAGGGCTGTGTCTAGACTGGCAAGTTTGTCCGCAAAAATCAGCTGCTTTTGCAGAAAAACTTGCCAGCTGTCTACACTGGCCGCTTGAATTTCCGCAAGAGCACTGACTTCCTACTGTCTGAAATCAGTGCTGCTTGCGGGAATACTGTGCTGCTCCCGTTCGGGCAAAATCCCTCTTGCGCAAATCATTTGCGCAAGAGGGCCAGTGTAGACAGCACAGTACTGATTTGCTAAAATGGCGATCGGCCCTTTTTTGCGCAAAAGCGCGTCTCGATTGGCACAGATGCTTTTGCAGAAAAGTGTCTAGACACTCTTTTCCGCAAATACTTTTAATGGAAAACTTTTCCGTTAAAAGCATTTGCGGAAAATCCTGCCAGTCTAGCCGTAGCCTAGGAGTTAGCACACACAGAGTTACGTAGCGCCCCAGGAAGGCCGGGCTGTTTGGAGGGATTCCCCAAAGTCCCATGCCGTGGAGTTCAGCCTGTTTGCGCCACAGGCCTAGTTTGCATCTGGATGTGATGGTGCATTAGCTGTGTCAAGGTACCAATCGTCATGGCGCCATGAGCATGTCAGGCTTGGAACAGTCTCTTGGAGGAGCTCCATGGGGCTCCCGTCTGATGCAGGATGGGCTTCCCTGCCTCCCACGATTGACCCTCTGGGGCGTCAGCCCTGCTGCTTCTGTGTGATCACAGAGAATTCAGTGAGTCCGGCCGGGGCAGCCTGCTGGCGGAGGCGTATCTGCTCTGCAGGGATTCATTCCCCTCCCCAAGTACTTACACTCCCCAGTTCCCTGGCCCACAGCATGGGCAGCCCTTAGCCCTACATGGAGAAGTGAAGTTTAGGGCACAGTCCCAGAGCCCCAGCCATGCTGTAGTGAACCTGTTTTCAGCTCTGTCAGTCTGACCGTCTGTGGCAGTTCCCAGCTGAGTGAAAGCCCCGCTCCCTCCAGAATGCCTACCTTTGGCCGCCCCTGCTGAGAGGCAGTGAAAGCCATGAGGCAGTGGGGCGTGATTTGCGTCTCTGGCCCCGTTTGAACTGGGTCTTTTTCAGTCCCTCATTGACTCTTCAGGCCACGCAGCCTGGAGAGGTGGCGCACAGTCCTACATCCCTTGGTTTGCCCTGAAAGCAAACTTCACCCTTGTCCCCTTTGGGGTAATCATGCAATGCATCAGGGAAACTGAGGCACACACCAGGGTCATTAAAAACCCTGAGGCACACACCTGGGGCAGCCTTTGGTAAAGTTGTACAGGCAGGGTGGGAAGAACTGCCCCAAGCCTGCAAGCGGAGGATGTAGCACAGCAGGAACAAGGACGTGTCAGCCCTTCTGTCAGAGCCCGAATTGCCTGCCCTGCTGGACGCTGGGCTTGGTGGCTCTCCAGGCAAACCCTATCTTTGTGTGTGTTTCTTCAGAGGCTTCAGGGCTCAGAGCGCAGCGCCCAGCTCCAGGAAATACTCGCGCACGTGTTTGATGTTCTGCCATCTCCACCCATGGATGCTCGGCCCATCTCCCGCTGCAGGACATGTGCCGTGGTGGGCAACTCCGGGTGGTTGAGGGGCTCCCTCTACGGGCGAGCGATTGATGCCCACCACTGGGTTCTGAGGTGAGTGGGGCTCACCTCCTGCCTTCCATCAGCCCCCTGCAGCCACTCTGCTCAAGCAGGGCCACTCTCTGCCCACTGGCCTGGGGTGCAGATGAATGCGGGACCCTGTCCTGCCCTGGGGGCATCTCACGGCACTGGTCTCTGCCAACAAACAGGGAGGAGGTGCCCCCACTACGGCCAGGCAGCTCAGGCCCAGTGGCTCTTGGGCCAGCTAGACATTGGGCAGGAGGGAGCTCCCAGGCAGGGCAGGAGGCAGGCCCTGGAATTTGTATTGCTGTGGCACATGTGCCATGTTCAGCTTGTCTGGAAACTGCTGGAGGAGAGTGGGGCACAGCTCTGGGACTCCAGCTAAACCTAAAAATCAGCCTGTGAGCACTGGCCACCATGATGGACAACTCCAGCTCCAAGCCTTCCCCCACCCCATTCACTGCCAGCCAGGAAGGGTCCTGTGCCCCAGCCCATCCTGCCAGCTATTGCAAATCCTGAGTGCTAGCATTCCCTTGCAGCCAGGGCATGTCCCCAAGCCCTCAGCCAGCCAGGGTGGGTGCCCAAGCCCCTTTACTCCTGCTAGCCACGCCAGGCCCCCTGTGAGGCTGGGAGTGCCAGGTCCCAGTATGTCTGGCCAGGCAAGCTGCAGCAGACTGAACTGTGCTCTCTCCTCCTCTCCCCAGGATGAACAGGGCGCAGACTGTCGGGTTTGAGGAGGATGTTGGAATGAGGACAACTCACCACTTTATGTACCCAGAAAGCGCCGTGGACCTCCAGCCTGGGGTCCACCTGGTGCTAGTCCCCTTCAAACCACTGGACTTGAAATGGGTGACAAGTGCCTTCTCCACGGGGGAGCTGCGCCAGTGAGCGTGGGGCCTGATCTGCTGGGACGTGTGTATGACTCCTTCAGGGGCAGTCTCCTGGATAGGAGACCCTGGAGGGGCATAACTCACTTGCCCCTGGAGGAGGCTGTGTTTTCGCTGGAGCCGTCCCATGGTGCAGGGCCTTAGGGGGCTCCGTAGGTGCTGGTTCATCCTGTTGGGCAGCGGCTCACCAGAGCCCACATCCCCACACAAGATGCTTCACACCTTTGTCCATGGACGGGGGCTTGGGAGGCCCACCCAGAGAATGGGAGCTGGAAGAGCCCCAGATAATGTGCCCTCTCTTCTCGGGAGGGGAAGGGGGGTTGCTCTGGCAGCTAGATTGTTTTCCCCTTGTCCATGAGGGTTCTGTGAGTCTGCTTCCCCTCAAGCTGGGAGGAGGGGCAGATGACCGTTTTGCGGGGCCCCAGGCAGCATAATTCTGCGGGCCCCCCCCCCTTTGCCATGGCGCATGCGCGGGGCTTTTTGAAGCGCGGGGCCCGGGGCGGCTGCCCCGTTCGCCCTGCCCTATATCCGCCCCTGGCTGGGAGCACTTCAGACATGGTGTTTGGCTTGCCTCACTGCAGACCAAAGGAGACTGCAGATTGGCCGCTGGTAGAGAGGGAAAGAACATTTGCACAGACCTCAGGGAAGGAGCATGTCTTACAGCTGCTGGCACCAGCAGTGGCATCCAGGCATGCTCCATTGAGCAGGGGTAGGCTCAGTGGCTTCATGACATGCTAAAAGCCATGCTGGCTCTTGAGCCATGGTCAGCAGCTGCACTGATAACAAGGCAGCAACTCAGCTCCTGCGAAGGGTTGTACAGGCCTTGGCCTCACCCCTGCTGGATTGTAGCTATCCTGGTTGGGGCCAGAAGAAAGCCATGCCCATGTTGCTGGGGGCAGTGCTTTACACTGACGATGCTTCCCATCCCCTCATGCTTTGCACTGACGGGGCTTCCTCTCCCTTTGTAGCACATACAGACGAGTCAAACAGTTCGTTGAAGCCGACAGGAGCAAGGTAAGGGGTTTTGACTGGAATGTAGCCGTGTTAGTCTGGTGTAGCTGAAAGGACTCTGTAGCACTTTAAAGACTAACAAGATGGTTTATTAGGTCAGTTCCTTTTTGCTCAACAAGATAGTTTATTAGCGTTCGTGGGCCAGACAATAGCTTCCCCAATTATCACCTCTAATACCATTAACTCACAAACATCCCACTCTCCCCCCCTCTAATATCATCAATTCACAGACACTTACCTTCCTTCCCCCCCCCCCCGCATCTCCCTCCTGTTCTGAAATGTGATTTGTCCTTTTCACGTGTGTTCATTTTTTTAATTGTATCCTTTGGTATATATGGTTGTGACAATTTTCTTCCACTATTTGATCTGAGGAAGTGGGTCTGGCCCACAAAAGCTCATCATCTAATAAACCATCTTGTTTAAGCATCACAGATAAGTGCAGCCCTTAACTGCATTCCAAAATCTTGGAGTGCCCCCCCACAACAAAAATTAGTGCCCACCCCTGCCCTAATCTCCTGCCCCAGCCCTGAGCCCCCTTCTGCATCCAAACTCCCTCTCAGAGCCCACACCTCATCCTACATCTAACAGCAACAAACCCACCACCTCACATTCTGGCCTCTTGCATCCTGAGTCTGGGAGAGGATGGCCAGGTCTTCAGGGCGAGTGATTCTCATATAGCCCTTGCCAGAACGTTACCATTGCTTGATGCTCTGAATGGGTGGCGGGGTGGGTGGGGGAAATCATTCATAAAGTGGCCAAGGGCTAACACTGGAACCCAGTTGCATGGGCAGTAGGTGCCACCACCTCTGTATGTTGGAGTCTGGGGCAGGTGCTTGTGACGTGGCTTCCAGCATGTTAAAGGCCTACGGGCCAATTGTGCTCTGAGATCCCTGAAACATGCCAGGCATCCAATCATTTTGGAAAGAAACCAGCCCAGTCTCAAAGCCCCCCAGAACTGGGTGCAGGAGCACTCCACCTTTCCTAGCTGCCCCGTGCAGAACTATAAACTCCCGACGCTCCTCAAAAACAGCACAGGCCATGCAAGATCTGCTAGTGCTTCCTGGCCATTTCCAGAAGTAGCTGCTTACAGTGTCCTAGAAGGTCCAAGGGAGGGGACTGCCCCTCTTCTGGCACGTGCTTCTGCCAGGCACTGAGTGATAACCACTGCCCACAGCATGCCCACGACCCAGTACGGGCTCTCATCTCAGATCATATCCAATAGAGCTCCTGCCCTGAGTTCCCCGCCAGTGAGCACCCAGCTCTGCACAGTGAGAGATGGGCTCTCACTGGTATAGTCGCTAGCCCCTTCTGAGCAGAGATGCAAGTGGAGGTGAACAGGGGCCCGTTAGCCCTGGGTAGGACAATAGCAGAATCCCATTGCATTGTGTCAACCTGTTCTCTTCTTCACAGGTGCTAATCTTGAACCCTGCTTTTCTCAAATATATCCATGACAAATGGACACAGCATCATGGGAGGTATCCGTCCACTGGCTTCACAGCATTGCTCTTTGCCTTGCACACCTGTGATCAGGTAAAAGTCCAAGTGGGTGGAGCCAATACCTATGGCCTGTGACGAGGATAGGAAAAGTTGGAGACAGCTGTCAGCCAGATACTAGGCTCAGAGGAGTGGGGAGAAGCTGCTAGGTCGAGTCTGCATGCTGAGCCCATAGATAGATAGCCAATTCACATGCCATGGCCAATGCAGCTGGCTGCCCATAGGCTGCCCCTGCCCCCCCAGCTTGGTGACCTCTGCCCCCAAACTGCAGCATCGTACCTGGTCAGCTCAGCGTGGTATAGAAGATGAGGTTGAGAGAGCCCTCAGCAGGCCATCTAGATCAACCCCCGGTCAAATCAGGACCAACCTCCAACTAATCATCCCGGTCAGGGCTTTGTCAAACTAGGCCTTAAAACCAGCTAGAGATGGAGAGTCTACTACCTCGCTAGGCAACCTGTCCCAGTGCTTCACCACCTTCCTAGTGAAATGGTTTTTCCTAATATCCAACCTAGATCTCCACTTGAGACAATTGCTCCTCATTCTGCCATCTGCCATTACTGAGAACAGCCTCTCTCCATCCTCTTTGGAAGCTCCCTTCAGGTAGTTGAAGGCTGCTATCACAGCCCTGTTCTGCAGCCTAAATAAGCCCAATTCCCTCAGCCTCTCAGAAAAATCACATGCCCCAGGCCTTAATCATTTTCATTGCCCTTCACTGGACTCATCCTTTCTGTAATGGGGAGCAGAACTGGTCCAATAGTCCAGATGTGGCATCACCAGTGCCACATAGAGGGGAAGAATCACTTCCCTTGATCTGCTGGCAATGCTCCTACTAATGCAGCCCACTACGCCATTAGCCTTCTTCGCAACACGGACACACTGACGACTCATATCCAGCTTCTCAGCCACTGTAATACCCAGGTCCTTTTCTGCAGAACTGCTGCTTAGCCAGGCAGTCGCTAGCTTTAGCAATGCATAGGATTCTTCTAAGTACCTGGGCAGCTCACTGTGGTACCCAGGAAGCGCATAATGGGTCAGAACAATGGTTCCGCTAATCCAGTATCTTGTTTGTGACAGTGGCCAATACCAAGTGTTTCAGCAGAAATGACCATAATAGGAAATCGTCACGTGAGTCATTCACTGTTGTCCACTCCCAGCTTATAATAAACAGATAAGGGACACCCAGAGCTTGGGGCTGCATCCCTGCCTAGTCTGGACTTAGCCTGAAACTTGCCTAGGTCTTTGTTAACACTGTTATAAGCTAGGACTTCACAACATCTCCTGGGAAGAAGTTCCATGGGTTGACTGTGCTTTGTGTGAAGAAATACTTCCTTTTGTTTGCTTTAAACCTGCTTCCGGATAATTTCATTGGGTGACCCTATTTTTTGCAGTCTAATTTACTGTTGCCACACTGTCACGATTTCATAAACCTCCATCATATACAACCGTACACGGCTCTTCTCCAAGCTGAACAGGCCCAATCGCATTAATCGTGCATCACGACAATTGTGCCATACCCCCCCCAATAGCTTTTGTTGTGCTTTTCTGAACCTCTTCTAGTTGTAATGTATCTTTTTTTTAGAAGGGGGAACAGCCTCTGCACGGGGTGGACATACCAGAGATTTGGTATTTTCTGTCCCATAATGCGATTCCCATTATGTTTGCTTTTCTGACTTCTGCTATACATTATGTGGATGTTGCCACAGAACTAGCTAGGGTGACTAAGATCTTTCTCCTGAGTGGTAATAGCTAATTGCGACCCCCCCCCCATAAGTAGCGAGGGTTCACTGTATACATATAGTTGGGATTAAGGTTTCCAAGGTGTATTACTTTGCAGTAATCAACTGAATTTCATCTGCCTGTTTGTTGCTTAATCATCCAGTTGTGCCTGATCCTTTTTTGTAACACTTAACAGTCTACTTTGCACTTAATGCTCCTGTGTAGTTTTGTATTTTCTGCAAAATTCACCACCTCACTGATTACACCTCTTTTTAGATCAGTTATGTATATTTTGAACAGTACTGGTCCCAGTACGGACCCCTAGAGCAGTGGTTCCAACACGGTGCCCACGGGCGCCATGGCATTTATGTGCGCCCACATAGTGACCAAGGCCGGCCCGAGCCATTCTTGCACCCCGGGTCCCGGATACCCAGCACATGTACGGCTCCCGCCCCGGGAGCACGGCGCATGCACAGTGCTGCCCCCAGGCACGCAGCACATGCGCGGCCCCTGCCCTGCCCTGCCCCTGGGTGCCTGGCAGCCCCAAAAGATTGGGGATCACTGCCCTAGCAAATACCACTAGTTATCACTCAGCAATCTGAAAACTGGCCATTTCTTTCCACCCGCTGTTTCCTGACTTTTAACCAGTTATAGATCTGAGAGGCACATCTATTTCATCAGCTGCTCAGCATGGTGCAGGGCATCTCAGAATGGTGCCTGGGCAGGGTACCTGGCCTAGCATGGGGAACAGAATGCACCTGCTCTGTATTCACTCAATAGTGGCAGCTCCTGTCTGATGGAGCAGTGTTTCCATGTCACTCTGGTTTGGCTTGGTCAAGCGCTGCCAGTGTGTGCAGGTGGGTACAGCCACACATACCCATGCAGGATATTTAATTTTATGTTTTTTTCCTATTAATTTTGCAATTGCAAAACTCTGGGGCTCTGCTGCCATCCCCTGCAGGTTGCAGTATTTGGCTTCGGCGCAGACAGCAGTGGGAACTGGCACCACTACTGGGAAGGAAACCGTTACGCAGGAGCCTTCCGCAGAACCGGCGTGCACAGTGCTGATTTCGAAATAACCCTCATCAAGAAACTGGCAACTGAAGGAAAAATCTTCTTCTACCACTAGGTAAAGGACCTGATCCAGGTCTCTTCAGTCACTGCTGTCTCACACATCAGCCTAGAGGTGCATCACACTGCAGGGCTTAGAACATAAGAATGGCTGTATGGGTCAGACCCAAGGTCCATCTAACCCAAAGACACTGATCAAGCGATTTGTCTCATGCTATCCATCACCAGCCTCTGACAAACAGAAGCCAGGGACACCATTTCAATTCCCTGGCTAATAGCCTTTTATGGACCTCACCTCCATGAAATTATCTAACTTCTCTTTAAACTCTGTTATAGTCCTAGCCTCCTCTGGCAAGGAGTTCCACAGGTTGACTACACGCTGTGTGAAGAACTTTCTTTTATTAGTTTTAAACCTGCTACCCATTAATTTCATTTGGTGTCCTCTAGTTCTTCTATTAGGAAACTAATAAATAACTTTTCTTTATCAGCCCTCTCCACACCACTCATGATTTTATAGCCCTCTATCATATCCCCCCTCAGTCTCTTCTTTTCTAAACTGAAAAGTCCCGATCACTTTAGCCTCTCTTCATATGGGACCCGTTCCAAACCCCTAATCATTTTAGTTGCCCTTTTCTGAACCCTTTCCAAGGCCAAAATATATTTTTGAGGTGAGGAGACCACATCTGTACACAGTATTCAAGATGTGGGCGTACCATAGTTTTATACAGGGGCAGTAAGATATTCTGGGTCTTATTTTCTATCCCTTTCCTAATAAT